GGTCACTAGGCATCTATCGAATATTGTATGTTGCACAATTGCTTTGTGGAAGAAAGAGGAAGAGCAATTTATATTCAATTCTACAATCTACAAGGACTTTCTGTGTTCGATACTACAAGTATGTTTGCGATTTGAATAGTTGCAAGGGTTTGAAAGCTTTTACACTTGTGGGTCTCAGCAATTCTTTTTCCTTTCCTTCTTTTTTTTTTTTGGGTTTTTGCAGGTTGTTCAAGAACTTGAAGATTTTGCACAAGATTTCAACATCTCATATCAATTTCGTTATGAATTGTCCGAGTCAATTGAGTTGACTCCAAGTTGGGACGATAAATCCGAGTCGTGACTAAGTTAGTGTCAATTCTTGTGTGACTCGCGAGATTTATGTAACGTGCACTTTTATCGGATCGAAGGTGGCTAAATTGTATCGAACTTGACCGATACTTTGAACTCTGGTTAACTATTTGTAAAATACTATAAAAATTAATTAAGAATCTAAGATATCTTATCAAAGGGTTGGATATATTTGACCAAGCAAGCTAGTGTGGACAATGCAAAAAACAATTGGAAAATATCTACAGTTAATTTTGCAACGTAGAATTTGGACCTTGGAAATATAATAGAAACAAATTGAGTTCAAAAAGCACACCCAAAACATTAATTTGAAATGACAGACCCAAAGATTAAAGTTTATTCCATTCAATACCCTTAACAAGGAAAGAACTCTTGCATCAGAAGCACCTATTGAGGAAAGTTGAAAGAACTCTTATATCAAAAGCACCTATTGATCAAAGTTGTAAATTCCTGAGAACTGCTAGATAGTACCAGTGGCTTTTGTAGTATCTTTGGAATTTTATTCTTTCAAATTCCAGATTCTTGTTAGACTTCATAAAGCAGAAAGAAATTTCATGGGAACACGTACTGGCTCCATATTTTATCAAGCACAAAAATAAAACTTGAGGTTGCCACGTGTATCCCACAAGTCAATCTCATACGAGCCAAGTTCAAACTGATCTCAATGCTCAAAATATGCTCAACTTTTAGTTCATCATCTCACAAGAGCCGCTAAACAATTTAGCAGCTATAACCTCTCAAGTCTCAAGATCAAATTTTGTCGATCTCCATCGAGGACAATCACCCAGAATTTGATTCATTGGGCCCAATGGCCAGTTTCTGCAAAGTCCACCAATACCCTCTGGGACCCACTGCAGTTATCTGTGGATGATTGAACATCACTGGAATTGACAAAATTCGAGATTGAGAGAATCCAAATCCAATCAAACAAAGCTTCAAAATTAACTAGGTCATCAAAATAAACTATATAGGCTCCCAAGTCTTTAAATCAGCCAACAGATAGTCCTTCGTATAATTTTGAAGCCAACACAAGTTAAAGTTCTCTCCCAAAAGGCAATCAACAGTAATAATTGAGGTTTATTTTTTTTTTTTGGGAGGGGGGGGGGGGGAGGATGCAGTTCTTAGTGTTGCTTATCTTATTAATAGTTTAGCTTTGAGTATGCTTTAGTTTAGCTCACTCCTTGATATATTCTCTAGGATTTTTTCTATTCCTTTGGTTTCTTCCCTTCCTCCTAAAGTTTTCATGTTTGATTGTTTCGTACATGATTCTAGATCATCCACGGGAAAATTGACCTCAAACCTTTGCGGTGTATGTTCATTGGTTATTCTGTTATCCGTAAATGGTATAAATAATATTATCCACAATCGCAACAGGTGTATGTTAGCATGGATGTAATCTTTCAAAAATCAAAGTCCTTTTTGTCCTACTTCTGAATCATCTTTTTAGGGAGAGAATACTACTATTGAGAAAGAGATGGTATATCAAGAGTCTCTTCTTCAATTGCCTATTCAGTGGGATATTAGTAACGGGGAACAACTTATTGAGCAAAAAAATAATACTAGTTGTCCACCTTGTAAAGAGAGCTTGCATCCCATATTGAATAATTGGAATCACCAAAAAGTTGGTTTATATATATTACTAATTGATTTTTGGTTGGATTCTATAACATGGTATCAAAATTGAGCCTTAGGAGGTTAATTGGTTAAATCTCTTATATGAATTTTCTGGTATGAATAGTACATGTGAGCTCGGCGGGCTTCACTTGAAGGAGTGTTAAGAGAGTTTGTATCCTNACTCAAAGTGGTGCTCCTCGTCAGACATAGCTCCAATTTTCTCTCTCTCTCTCTCTAGTCAGAGGAAACAGGGGAGGAAAGGAATGGTGAGCCAGACGGGGATTTTTTATCAGTTCGAACCGGGCTCTCCCTAGGGTTGCAAAAGTCGCAATATTGTTGTTGATCGTCTAATCTTGGCCGTTGCATCTTAAATCATAGAAGTTTGAAAGGATTTTCCTCTTTCATTTTACCGACCTGACAGAAAATTAGGAGAATTAAATCTAGACACTTTAAAATTTGTCAAATAATCATTCAAAATTTTTGATATTTATAATATTATATATAAATCTCTTAAAATTTGTACATACGTAACACTTAAACCCCTGCTATTAATTATCCGTCATATATGCATTAATAAATTATACATAAACCTCCTGAAATTTATAGACGAATAATAGTTAGACTTCTTAAGTTTAAAATATTATATTTAAAGCAAAAATACTCCAAATCAAATATAAAATATAAAATATTTTAAATTTTAAAACTAAAATTCATGTTCAATTGTATCATTTATTGAAATAAAATCAAAAATAAATAGCCAATTTTTTCTTAAAAATTATAATTAATATACAATTAAAACTAATAAATCAAACAAGGGATTTAAGTCATTCATAAATGAACATGAATTTTCTAATAAAAATTCATGTTATTTTATGTCATTTATTAAAATAAAATCAAAAATCAAAATTTAATTTTTTCTTCAAAAATCATAGTTAGTATATAATTATACTATCTATTGGAATAAAATTAAAAAATACGGATCAAACTGTAATTGACATAATATATTATAGCTTTACTTGGGGGTAATTTGATTGTTTAAATGATCAAATTAAATTTCACTAGATAGTATAATTGTATAATAATTATAATTTTTTAAGAATAAATTAAATTTTAATTTTTGATTTTATTTCAATAAATAATATAATAGAACATGAATTTTAGTTGTGAAAGTTAAAATATTTGATATTATATTTTTAATTGTTGTATTTTTTTTAATATAACATTTTAAATTTGAGGATCTAAGTATTACACGTCTACAAATTTTAAGAGGTTTGAATGTAATTTACTAGCAGATAATCTAATGAATATTGATGATAGAGTTTTAAATGTTACGCACGCATAAATTTAGGAGGTCTATGTGTAATATTTGAAATATTAGGGAGTCTGAGTGATTAAGTGATAAATCTCAAGTTATTTTATTGTAATTTTCCCTAGAAAATCTTAAGGACAAATTTCATAAGTGTCCCCTAAACTATGGCCTTTATTTAAAATTGTATACTAAATATTATTTGTTTTAATTTGCCCCTGAACTATGTAATTTATTTCAATCAATCCCTTCATTTAAACGAATTAATTTTATAAAAATCTATCTCATTTAATGGTTCATCTCAAAGTAATTTATCTCAATTATTGTTTAACGGAAATGATCGATTGAAATAAATTAATAATTTAAGGGTAAACTAAGACAATTTGACAATTGATGGAACAATTTAAAACAAAGGCCATAGTTTAAGGGCATTTATGACATTTACCATTTTTTTACCTCACAATAACTTTTATTTTCTCCTTTTAAATTAAATTTAATTATCCCTTGAAACTCATCAAAATAAGAAATAATAACCTCCCCCCACCCCCCCTCTTTCTCCCTCCCCTGAAACAATGTGACAACTCCACCCACAACTTCTCCATCAAAGTATGCTTCTTTGATATCAACGGAGTATGCTTCATTCAGTGAGGCAGGTTATCTCTCTTGAAGTATATCGGAATGCAATGGAATCAGATTCATACTTCGAACGCAAGTGGGTTTTCCTTTTCCACTTTGAATGCAATTATTCTAAAAGTAACTTTTGTACTACACCAGTGACCATTAGAAAGTGGGATTTACATGATTGCTGCAATCCAAACAAACGCATTATATTAATGCCACAATCTCATTAATGCAAGGATTAACATTATTTTTGTTAGGGGTGTCAATCACGTCTTATTCATATCACTTACATATCGTGTTATATTCATATTAAGACCTATGAAAAAAAAATCTATTTAGTTTGTTTTGGATATTAAATATTAATCTAAACTATTTATTATATATATTTAATAATCACATCAATTTTATAATCGTTCGTGTCAAATTCGTATTAACAGATCAAAATTGACAACCCTAATTTTTATACTCTTTGCTTTTTCTCTTGGCTATCAGGCTAAAGTTTTATTTTATGGAATTAATTTCCAAATTATATTTATTTTGATATTTCGTTTCTTCTTTATTGCAGTTTTTAATTTATTTTCAATTTATCATTGATTCTACAAAAGCACAATTTAGCCTCATATTTTTCAAAATAAAAGCAACAAAAGAATATTTACGTTGCATTGTACAATTAAAGATGTAGCAAAACAAAGAAAAAAAGAAAAGATCTGCTACTTGCTTCAAAATGGAAAAGACATGTTGCACCTCAAACTGAAATGAACATCTTTTTTTTTTTGTCCTTCCATTGAATTTCAGTCTGCCTTATTTTTTTATCATTCCTAATATTACATGGCATGCTAAACACACTTAGTGTAGACCTTGACGTTGTGACATGTATCAAAGGTTCATGTCACAAAAATAACCTTTCCGTAGACTACGTATATCACACCTTTTTGAGACATCACAACAACGAAAATCTCATTGATCGAGCCAACTTTTTTTTACTCTGGAATATGGAAAAGCAAGCAAACAACTCAAAAGGGAGAAGGAAGAGGGGAGGTGGGATGATACATAATTTAAACCCATCAGTTGATCAACCTTTCCTTCCAAAGCTTTGGTATGGCTATGATGCTCACTTCAATAACGGAGGGGTGTCTGGAAGACGCTGGGAAATAAGTCTTGCAGTGTCTCTCCACCAAGCCACTTCTCTTTCCGTCTCATTAAGCTTGTCCATGGCACATTCTAAAGCTGCTTCAAGCTCTTTTATCCTTTCTTGCTGTCTCAATTCTAGAATTTCGCACAATCGCCTCTCAAGTTCACTTGGAGAAACTCCTCCGTATCNAAGCGTTTCTTATGAAGGTAGCACTGGTGGGACTCTAGGGGATTGCTATCACATGATTTCTCAATGCAGCAAATCTCAGTTGCAATTTTTTGTTGCGACTCTTGATGATTCATCAATCCATAACTTTGATTTAAAAATAAACATCAGAACTACTTAGGAAAGGATGCATACAGAAACAAGTCCAGGATAAAGAAAGGAAAGAAATAAAAATATAGACAATGCTTCATACCTCAATCCTTTCCTGTTCTGTGTATTTCCCCATGACTTCCGTATCCAAGTGGAGCTCAAGACGCTCTAATTCAGCTTCAAGTTCTGCCTCAAGATGCTCCATACCATCTGTTGATGTTTCTTGGTTAGATGTATCACAATTGAGAGATCGACTACAGACTGGATTGGTTTCTATATCTGCAATAAATTACAATGAAGGAAGGTTTTCAAGTGAAAATTCCCCCACAAATGCAAATTTTCTATGTTATTGTTGGTCGGAGTAAAAAAGGCTATTACTTGATGCAGATGGCTTAAGTGTATCTTTCCATTGGATCGGTAGTTTCTCTCTGAGATTTTGAAGAAGCATTTCCATTTGGGTCCGTAGCTCCATCATCTTCTTAACTTCATTTGTACTAGCAGCCATAAGATACACTAAACCAAATCCAACTCCCACGTTGAAAGAGGCTTCATTATTTGTATATTGTCCTGGAAAAATAAAAGGCACATATAATTACTGACATGGGAAAAAGATGATTCAATCAAAAAGAGTATTGATCAATAAAAATCACAAATATTTCAGCTTGTTCTGTATAATTCTAACCACAAAAAACAATAAAACTTTCCTTGTAAAATGCCAGACTGGCCTAAATGAAAAGTAGGAGCTAGTTGAATACACACACTCCACATATTATCTTTGATCAAAGAGAGAAGAACAGAGCAAGAATCGAGAAAGAGAAAAACACATTACAGCACCAAATAAGTTGTATTACATAATCAACCTGATAGACACCCCAATACTAATAAACTATTATACTCTAACAACTCACAGCTAGTAGAATTGTGAAGATTTTCCAAATTGCTCATATGTATATTAATGGCAGTTGCTCCTACATTAACATAATTGCTATCATCTTACTCAGAAGAGAAAATATTGAATACAAGATTGTGTGACATGCAGACAACAACTCATTTGTCATGCCGTTAAGGCACAAATATACATTGAAAAAAAATGCACACGTTGAAGATAAATCAAGCAAATTAAGGCACATATCTAGCATCCACAAGTTGTAAGTTGACTTGCAGAACCAGCCTTTGAGTTTGAGACAGTTCAATTCATTACAAATACAACATTTTTTCAAACAGTTAACAAGAATCAGCTTCTATAACTAAGTCAAAGATCATAGGATTTAGTCATTGACTGAAGTTTAGGACCAGGAACAAAGTATATATATATATATATAAACACACCAACAATTAAGTTTGATTCAAATTTTATCTATTTTGATCCAATGGTACAAAATCCATCCCCAAATTTGTTTTCCCACTAAAAACATCATCTTCTCAGCACGGCCCAATTTTAGACAACTCGACTAATACACTCTTCAATGTCAAATAATCTCATCAATCCATACCTATCTCTCTCTTCTCTCTTCCCTACCACTATCTTATTTTCTTTCTGTTCACTTTAATTTTAAATTATATAATTAAAAAAATAAAAGTAAAAATAAATTGTTATATAAAATATAAATATCGCAAGATTAATGTTCAATTTTTGATATTATAGAGTATCTTCAGGTACAAGATTATTGCTAATATATATACATATATGTCCACCTCGGAAAAAACATCTTTACCTTGAGAATTCTATATTCGATGTTACTACTGCAATTGGGCATCATCCAATTATCTTCCTCTAGCTAGGAGGTGCAGCCATATTTAAGATGTGTGTTGCTGCTGCTAATTCTGCCTCTTCTTCAGAGAGTGGCTACTAAGTTTATCTACTATTTATTAAGGAGGAAGCTGATTCTGAACTCATCACATGAAAGTCCATTCACAAAGATTTGGATAACAACCAATGTTTGTCCGTAATTTGAACAATCACCAGTGGGCTACGCTTCTACTTTGCTTCATTTTAGATGAATTCACAGATCATACACTTGAACAACTTATGAGTGGCCACTTTCACCGGAGTAACAGTACATGTTTGTTAGGCAACATATAGCTGTTAATGTTAAAGAAACTTTTTGACATGGTAGCTACAGCTTATTTGACTTAACTAAAGCAGAAAATTGCTTAGATAACCCTTAAAAAGCACTATTTAGAAAGTTGTTCAGTAGATGCTTTTGACAAGCTGCTTTAGGTTCTTTTTTTTTGATGAAAAAAAAACAGCAGCAAGCATGACCACAATCACCTTAAGAGTTAAGACCTCGACCTCTTCTACAAGACACAAACACTAATATCCAATCATAACAGATGAGACATTGCAATACCAACATCCTTCACAATGTGGTCTGGAAACCTTCACTTTGTCCAAAACCTTTATTGCCCTGCTTTAAAACTGTCTTCAAATCCAGACGTTTTTCATTTCTTAAACTATCAATTCAGCTAAATTGAGCAGAAAATCCTCCATTTGAACGTCTACACCCTTCTTTTCCCCCAGTATATATATGTGTGTGTGTGGATCCTAATTTCATGCTTCAAATAATAATATTTTGAAGGCGCCTGTTTGGGATAAATCAGATGAAATCCTGAATCTGGAATCTCCAGTGTTAACTGTACCCCAATAATGAAGATCATTCAAAAAGACTAAGCCGAGAGATATATTTTCCAGTGCAATATTACTATGAGTGATGAAAAATGGCACATGCAATAATTTCAATTCCTTCAAGAAATTTTTATCAACAAATACAAACCAGGCAATTGCAAATGTATGCTTAGTTTAGGGAAGCCAAAATACCAAAACTGACTATTCCTTAGCTAGAAATCCTTAATTTCTAGAAAGATCTATATTTTCTTTATAATCCATTCATCCATTGTACAAAATGAATCCACCAATTCCTAGTACACCTGATTGCAATAGAGGCTCTCAACATGTGATAATAATGAGCATTCTCAGTAAATGAATTTCTCTATGTATCGTTCCATTGTTTACTTTTGGAGGTGGGTTCCATATACAGATTCCGATTTTTCATTTTTGGGGAATCATATCATCCTTTTTTATCAGATCCCAAAAAAAAGAGATTCAACAAAATAAACACATAGTACAGCTCCTTTTATTTGGGGGTAAAAGTAGATTATAACATAAAATCCTTATTTGCTAGAATGATCTATACTTCAGTTTATAAACCATTATACAAAATCAATCCACCAATTTCCTAATATGCCTGATTGCAATAGAGGTCTCAACATTTAATAGTGACACTGAGCGTATTCTCAATAAAATGGATTACTCTATTTATCGCTTCATGTGTACTTTTGGATGTTGGAAGAACGAACTCAGAATTCTATTCCATTTACAGATAGTGCAATAATTTCATTTTAGGGAAATCAGGAATCCTTTTTACCAGATCCCAAAACACAGAGATTCAAACAATAAACACACAGGATTGCTCCTTAAAACTATGTTAAAAGTACATTAGAAGATTTACTCCGATAACAGGTTGTATAAATGTGAGAATCTGATCATTTGGCATAATGAATTAAAGCTGAGGCTACTAACAATCGGACGCTGTGTCCGGTAACATTCTAAGGTATGATTAGGTAAGAGTTTTAGTTCTCATTGCTAAAAAACGAAGAGAGAAAAAAAAAATTACCAGACTCGTCCGAGGCAGAAGAGGAGCATTGGCCTTTCGCTTTCTCCGTATTCTTTGGTTTCTCAACTTTCTCTCTCTCCAGTCTTCTTCTTTGCCCTTTGGACTTCTTGTCCAACCAGCAAAGCCAGTGAGAGAAAATCGACCATGGAGACAAACACCCGAAGCTTCCTGTCACTTTCCTTCTTTGTTTAGCCATATCAGCGACGATGGGGTCGCCGGAGTAATCGTGGCCGTCCATTAAGACGTCTCCGTTGTGGTGATTGTGTCTCTGGCCGAAGCTAGACGGCTTTTGGATGGTTTTTTGACAGCAAAGATGAGCAGAAAATCTTCATATATTTGTTCACAGAGAGAGAGAGAGAGAGAGAGAGAGAGAGAGAGAGAGAGATAAATGTGATGTTTCACAGATCATAAGCGTTGGAATCTGGAGAGTATTTCAAATGGGAAGGTAGATAAATATTGGAGGGAAAACTTGAAAGGGTATGCACGGTTACCTAGATTTGGCATTTATGATTGCCGATTCAAAACACAAGGAATTAATTTAAAACTTATCAATTTATATCTATATTTATATTACTTAAAAAATGAGATACATAAAAAATATTTATATTTCATTTTTACCTTTAACTATCGATGCATTGTTCAACAAGCAATGTCAGTGTACGATCATCTGATTATATTTAATTTTCTTAAATTAATATATTGATTATATTTAATTTCTTTAAATTAACCCTAAAACGTTTATAACTCATTGTCTCTCACAACAAATAAATCTTTCTCAGTTGATACAAAAAGTGTTGTTCTTGATCATCTTTTCTGTCTTCCATTCACTCATTTATCTGCTTTGTTATATTTCAAAATTTTGGCTCTTTGTTGTATCAATTTATGGGCNAGTCTTCCATTCACTCATTTCTCTGCTTTGTTATATTTCAAAATTTTGGCTCTTTGTTGTATCAATTTATGGGCATTTGTCCACAATCTTATCGATCCTCCAATTACTTTCAACTCACTAAAATTTTAGACTTTGTGTGAATAGAATGAAAACGAAGAAAGAAGAAGAAGAGAATAAAATAGTCGAGGACTCCAAGAGACATAAGCTTGTTTCATGAGCTTACTGAATTTATTTTTGAGAACATCTTATAAAAATTCGGATAAAATTGAACTTTTTATGAAAAAAGACAAAACGGTAATTTGTCATTATAGTGGTTGAAATGGGTAGGTAGTTAGATATATTAACAATTGCCTAATGTGGTAGAAAATGTGGAGATGGGTATTGGAAATGGGTAGAAATTAATCTTAGCTTGAATTGGTGTATAGAAATTGCTAGCTTATAATTTCTTGAAAATTGGTGTTATGTGAGCATGCTATGTGTTTATAATGTGCCCTTGTGGTTTAAGTATATTATTGGCATGAAATTGTAAAATGACATGCTTGGGACTTATGTTGGATATAAATATTAATATGTGCTAGTTGATGTATTGACATTGTGATGGGTTATGGTAATTATATGCATTAGATATAAATTGTCATAGTATATGTTGAAATATGTGGTTAAATTGGTCCATATGACATTCATAGCATGTTGGACATGATTGTTGTATTGTAATAGTTCATTACATTGTATTTGCACAAAGACATCACATTATGTAGGTGTGTGTGCACGTATGTCGTCAAAACACCACTTTTGGTGAATGATGGGTAGGCTTGGGAAAGTTAGATTGAATATCTAGCTGAGTTGCACAGTTTGCATTGAAAATTAGGGTCGGGGTTTACAAGAAGGCTAGTGTGGCTTCCTGGGAATGACAGATGCTAGTAACTATGGGACAGTTTGGGTTGCACTACAAGGGTCAGGTTCATGGTACCTTGGGGAGTTTGGTGGCTACGCGTTCCCTACTGAGCAGATTGATTGAGTCCCAGAGACAAGACACAAAGATATTGTCCATCAGAGATTGGGTACATGCGGGTATAGGTGACGATGGTTGGGTTATTCATGCAGATGGTAGTTTTCGGTATAGGGGAAGAGTTGTGGTTCTCCAGTCGATGGATCTGAGAAAGGAGGTCCTCAGGGAGTTCCATTGCTCCCATTTTGCTATATATCTAGGTGGCAGGAAGATGTACAATGATCTTCGTTGCCAGTATTATTGGAGCGGGATGAAGAGGCATGTCAGAGATTTCGTTAGTCGATGTCTCACGTGTCAGCAGGTCAAGGCTGAGCACTGGAGACCCGTTGGGTTGCTCTAACCTTTGGAGGTGGCTGAGTGGAAGTGAGAACATGTCATAATGGATTTTGTGACTCACTTACCAAAGACATCGCGAGGACATGACGCAGTGTGGGTGATAGTGGACCGACTTACGAAGTCGACACACTTTTTGGCAGTGCAAGTGACCTTCACATTAGAGGAATTTTGCAGGTTGTATATACGGGAGATTGTCCAGTTGCATGGAGTACCCGTATTACATCATCTAAAAGAATATGTCAAACAATGACAATTATGCCCAAAAGAATATGCCCAAACTAGTATCTCATGGCGGAATAAGGAAAGTATCAACATGAGCATTATCTCAACATGAAACTTCTAGTCTACTACATAAAAATAGCAATTCTAGACATCTCCCTCTGGATCCACATGCCCATCCACTTGAACTTCCCAATTTACCTACTTGTCAACTCCGAGCTCTTCTTCTAAACCGAAATCTGAAAAGAAATATTGTATCTAGGGGCTGAGCACTAAGCTTTGTAGGAAAATTCTCTCAAACTTGGACAAGGTTTTGAAAACATATAAAATAAGTCGGTCNGCTTGTCAACTCCGAGCTCTTCCTCTAAACCGAAATCTGAAAAGAAATATTGTATCTAGGGGCTGAGCACTAAGCTTTGTAGGAAAATTCTCCCAAACTTGGACAAGGTTTTGAAAACATATAAAATAAGTCGGTCTCATTTCACAAATATCATATATAACTTTTGAAAGAAAACAGTGACAGTTCATCCGATCTCAATTTTAAGCAATATCCATAAATTAAAAGAAGAGGTAAAACCAATTCTCAAAAATAAGTCATTTCCAATCATAAACCATTTCCACAACAACAAACACTAACCACAATTTGTACCATTTCCAACAATGTATATCAAACCACAACTTGTATCTCAAGTATGATGTATGATATCGCATGAATAAACACATCGAGAATATCCTGTCCTACACACACATACCCAATCCTCGCAAGGATATCAAACTTNAAATAAGTCATTTCCAATCATAAACCATTTCCACAACAACAAACACTAACCACAATTTGTACTATTTCCAACAATGTATATCAAACCACAACTTGTATCTCAGGTATGATGTATGATATCACATGAATAAACATATCGAGAATATCCTGTCCTACACACACATACCCAATCCTCGCAAGGATATCAAACTTTAGGAAGGGCGTATACCAATGCATTGGCAGTGACGAATCTAACTCAGGAATAATATACTAACCCTCATCCATGGTACCCATGAGCGAATAGTGGTTTGGTCCTCACAAGACACCTACCCCACTACAAGTGGTAGGAAAAATTCAAACCTGAACGAAGTAAGAAACGCATCTACCTACTCTACGATACCCGATCAACGGCCACCCATAGTCATCCAAACATCCATAAGAGATATAATTCCCAACAAATTTATCAAATAACAAGCAAATCTAAAATCCTCAAATTTCACATGCAGTATTACCATANTCAAGGTAGGAAAAATTCAAACCCGAACGAAATAAGAAACGCATCTACCTACTCTACGATACCCGATCAACGGCCACCCATAGTCATCCAAACATCCATAAGAGATATAATTCCCAACAAATTTATCAAATAACAAGCAAATCTAAAATCCTCAAATTTCACATGCAGTATTACCATAGAACAATTTAAGAAAATAAGCAAGAGATCATCAACAATACCATTTTATTGTTTAATACAAAGCACTAAAGTTTTGAAATCAAGAACAAAGAAAACATCAAGAGAAAAATCCATTTTTCTTGAAAATTAGGGTTTCATGACAAGAAAAAGGGATTTCATGGCTATCTAACATGGCTTTGTTTAAAACGTGGTAATATTTGTAAGTATATCAAGAATCAATGATTTATATATATATATATATAGGATCTTGAAGCAAAACATATATAGATATAACCCTAGCCTCAATGCATAAGAGTAGAAGAAAACCCTTACCTTTCTTCCTTAGCTCTGAGTGAAGAACTAGAAGATTTGATCTTTCTTCAACTTGAATCAACACTTTAATCTCTTTGTTTTTTCCTTTCTTTCTTCCTCTCTAAGCCTCCCTAGGGTTAGAAATGTTGAAATGAGGCAAATGGGGGTGTCCTTATGTCTTTATAAGGTGAGAAGTGGCCTCTTATGCACGATTTTGAAGGTCTGAATTCGTAACTCACGTTCGAACGTCATTGGCATTCAAATGTCATTTGCTCTTCGTACTTTTGTTTTTCCATCAGACAAAAAGTACTAGAACACACTGTCGTTCGAACGGACTTTCACGTTCGAACGTACTTCCTGTTTCTGCTGAAACTTCTAGTGAAGTGTTGGCCTATTTTAGNCAGAAATGTTGAAATGAGGCAAATGGGGGTGTCCTTATGTCTTTATAAGATGAGAAGTGGCCTCTTATGCACGATTTTGAAGGTCTGAATTCGTAACTCATGTTCAAACGTCATTGGCATTCAAATGTCATTTGCTCTTCGTACTTTTGTTTTTCCATCAGACAGAAAGTACTAGAACACACTGTCGTTCGAACGGACTTTCACATTCGAACGTACTTCCTGTTTCTGCTGAAACTTCTAGTGAAGTGTTGGCCTATTTTAGAGGTTGATTTGGAAAATTTTCATGAAATACACTTTGGTAGCCCAAGAAGTATACTATCTACTGTAAACATTTCAACTCAAACAGACATAAGGGTAAAAAGTTGTGGTTCAAATACTAAACAGTGTCTAAAATTCTTTCTACCAAAATTTTATCTAAAATGTGTTTGAACTCCGGACTACTTCCTAACTTCCAATCCATACCCTATTACCTCGCCTAACATTTTTATTTCTACTTTTACAATCCATGCAGTTCATGCATACATTATCACATATATTAGTATTTCAAAAATAATTATATTGCTATATTAAGATAAGCATGTGGGGGTTTACACATACCCTTATCAGAATTTGAAAGAAGATAAAATATGACCATTTGATCTTTACGAGCAAATCGTCTTTGTGCTTGTGTAAAATGTGGTCGTACAAAACATTTGAGACAATATAATAAATGCGCGGAGCCAATTTCAGGACGAGCGTTAGATAGTTTATGGGGGATTAGGTAT